TTTGGGAGGCGAAGGTTAAAAGACAAACCGCTGCAGCTCAGAGTTGTGATGGGTACGCTGTACTTGAGTACGACTCACAACGTGGAATGGATTTAGGTGAGCCTTGGCGCGCCAAACGCCCCGTACCTGGTAACGCTTTTGTGCCAGGCGAGTGACTTTTTTCTTTAAAGGATGCCACCGCAGTTAGGGAATTTGCTGCCAAATAGTTCCGATGTAACCGGTAGGTTTGATCATATATCCGCCGGAAAGGAAAGACAAAATAAGAAACGCCATTTCTGACGACTCTCCATCGGTATACATGTTTTTCTGGCGGTTCGAGGAAAGCGTAGAGAACCGATTTCGAGGTGATCGTCAGCTCCTTACGCATCATTCTCATTTCTGTCAGGGCGAGGCGAAGGAAGCCATTCTTGGTTGCTCCTTGTATTCTACTAGCAAGGAGCACAAACGAGCTTGAAACCTACTGAAAAAAATTTTGGTCAGCGGCAGATAATCGTAAGATCCATGCTTGATGATGAGACCACGCTTGGAGCAATTCAGCCAGATATGGATGTGGTAATGACCTACTCGAATAAATTAGTAAGTCGTGCCAATGCATTGGAACAGTTCGTTGTGTCGCTGATCTTAATCCGGTGAACAATAATAAGGCGGAGCTTGGTCAATTGCCAAGGTTTATATCGGTAGACTTGGTGTGAACATCGGAAGACATTTATGAAAGCTACCGAGAGCACATCTTCCGTGACTTGCGCGAATTTGTGCTATCGAGGGCTCGTCTTCACCAACATAGGTATGGTTAATTTTTCAGAACCAAAATTCAGTGGAGCATGGCTCAACTAGAGAGGGCGCTATGCACTGAAAGGCTTATACTTTATCTACTGATTTGATAATTTGTCCGATGTGCGACGGACGGCATACCCCCGCAGACCGTCATGAGCTTCACAGCCTCACTGTTAAGGACGGCTGGGGTTCCCTAGTCAAGATAAAGTTGAGTTTCGTCTGTTTATGTTCTGGCCATCAGGCCGAAAGTTGTCCGAATAAGTGGGCTAGTGGAGAAGGGGGTTATACCCGATGGCACCATCGCATGTTACATGACGAGATTAGAACTCCAGTGCCTAATGCATCCCTCCAAATGTTCCCGAGCGGTTCTGGGGTTTGTACTTTCTACGGTACTAAATTGAAATTAACAAAGGGCACAAATATATACAAACCTCAAGTATGCGGCCAAATAGACTTCACAGTTAAACCCAAAGGTTCAAAACCCCGTGGCTCAAGCACGACAGTCAGAAACGGTTCAAGACCAAATTCAAATGTCTCACATGGATAAACAAACGTGGAAAAGTGTGATATACGAGCGAGCTTTTCAACGTAATGTTGAATATAGTCAAATTCACAAAGCACGTTGAACATTTGGAAGGATCTTCAGTATTTGTTCTTTACACCGTCGGCAAAAATCCTTCCGCAAAAATGGTCGTCCAAGGTTCAGGAAGGGGTCATGATTCTCACCCTACCTACCTATAACTTATTGTCAGTGCCTGTGGTTACTAACTTCCTGTGTTAGCCGCGCGTAAAACAGCTTTCCGCCGTAGTCATCATTCGAACAATTCATAAGGAATCAATTCCAAATCCCGCTGCACAACTTCAGATTGGCATATTCATCAGGAGACCGACGCACACAGTTAGACGCACGATGAAGATGGAGGCTTTGCAGAATAAAACATTTTGCCGCACGAGCTCAGTCTACGTATCACAAGCAGCACTTGGCAACCGATCTGACGGAGCCCCCGGAACACTGTCCTCAAGTAAGTCCTCTGCCGCATGTTCAGTTTGTGCTACAAATAATGCCCAGCTGTGTCATGTTAAGCTACTGCTAGAGAGTGCTTATTTCGAACTGGAATCTGCCAAGTCCAACCTTTGGGAGGCGAAGGTTAAAAGACAAACCGCTGCAGCTCAGAGTTGTGATGGGTACGCTGTACTTGAGTACGACTCACAACGTGGAATGGATTTAGGTGAGCCTTGGCGCGCCAAACGCCCCGTACCTGGTAACGCTTTTGTGCCAGGCGAGTGACTTTTTTCTTTAAAGGATGCCACCGCAGTTAGGGAATTTGCTGCCAAATAGTTCCGATGTAACCGGTAGGTTTGATCATATATCCGCCGGAAAGGAAAGACAAAATAAGAAACGCCATTTCTGACGACTCTCCATCGGTATACATGTTTTTCTGGCGGTTCGAGGAAAGCGTAGAGAACCGATTTCGAGGTGATCGTCAGCTCCTTACGCATCATTCTCATTTCTGTCAGGGCGAGGCGAAGGAAGCCATTCTTGGTTGCTCCTTGTATTCTACTAGCAAGGAGCACAAACGAGCTTGAAACCTACTGAAAAAAATTTTGGTCAGCGGCAGATAATCGTAAGATCCATGCTTGATGATGAGACCACGCTTGGAGCAATTCAGCCAGATATGGATGTGGTAATGACCTACTCGAATAAATTAGTAAGTCGTGCCAATGCATTGGAACAGTTCGTTGTGTCGCTGATCTTAATCCGGTGAACAATAATAAGGCGGAGCTTGGTCAATTGCCAAGGTTTATATCGGTAGACTTGGTGTGAACATCGGAAGACATTTATGAAAGCTACCGAGAGCACATCTTCCGTGACTTGCGCGAATTTGTGCTATCGAGGGCTCGTCTTCACCAACATAGGTATGGTTAATTTTTCAGAACCAAAATTCAGTGGAGCATGGCTCAACTAGAGAGGGCGCTATGCACTGAAAGGCTTATACTTTATCTACTGATTTGATAATTTGTCCGATGTGCGACGGACGGCATACCCCCGCAGACCGTCATGAGCTTCACAGCCTCACTGTTAAGGACGGCTGGGGTTCCCTAGTCAAGATAAAGTTGAGTTTCGTCTGTTTATGTTCTGGCCATCAGGCCGAAAGTTGTCCGAATAAGTGGGCTAGTGGAGAAGGGGGTTATACCCGATGGCACCATCGCATGTTACATGACGAGATTAGAACTCCAGTGCCTAATGCATCCCTCCAAATGTTCCCGAGCGGTTCTGGGGTTTGTCTACGTTTCTTGCCCGCGGTTAATCAAGGCCCGAACGGATCTTCCATTGTCGGTATACTGCTAGAGACGGGACCTGATTCACCTCTCATTCGTGGAGATTTGGAAAGGTTTTTGGGCTTAGGTAATAAGGAATCAAAAGTACACTCAAGCACTCTCATGGAAAACACATTTTGATGATACACAAGTCTGTTCTTCCGTTTAAAATTCCTAATTGGAGAGCAAGTGGCACACGTAGCAGGTACCTACACACCTTTTCCTCTCTTCTTGAAATGACAGCCAGGAAGCCCAAATCTGAAGCTCTTGCTAAGCTAAGTGGGGTCAATTAAGTGATATCCACTTCAATCTCGTGTCTGATTCCGTTGTGTGAGTTCTGATAGGCCTAGACGCACCTGACCCACCTTGGGCCTTTGAGCAACAAAGAGGTTAAAAAGGTGATCCTTACATTACCCCTACACCATTCGGATTGATTCTTTGTGGTACTTTGTATAATTTCCGGTGACACCACGTAAATACATTCGCTGCTTAAGCCGGGTTTAAGGAGGTTGAAGGTAATCTGGTTAGATTGTGTGATATGAACTTCAAAGACAAACCAAAGAAAAGAATCACCCTTTCCGCTGAAGATGAACGAGCAGTGAAGATAGCCGAAAGTTACTTGGAAATATTAGACGGACAGTTTCTTCGAAACCTACCATGGAAAATGGCTTATTGAAGAGTCACTGTAATAAGACGGCGGCGCCGCATCGCCCGCTAATACCAGATAGAAGCCTGAGGAAGGATGAAGAAATGGGGGAAGACACCCGTCTGTTATTTACCAACACTTAAAGAGGGGCTATGACCCCAGGGCAACCAGTGACAGCAAGTATACCAGCGGAACACGGTATCTAACACATCAAGTTGTAGTTAACATGAACAAACCCGAAAAGCCGAGAGTGGTCTCCGATTGCGCAGCTGCTAATCGCGATCAATCTCTGAACAGTTGCCTGTTGCAAGACCCAAACAATGTAGCTAGTTAAATAGATATATTACTATGATTCTTACAAGGACCTAGAGCCATCTTTGAGGATATCGAGGACATAATTTTGCAAATTTTTGGGCCAGAAAGGAACCAAGATGTGTAAGGTCGTTGACCCTTACTTCGCCGCTTCCTGGTTAAGCACGTTTCTTTGGGCCTTTTTATTGCGTGGATCACCTGCACGTTACCCTGATGCTTCACACTGTACGAATACGTTAACAAGAACCGTATTCTCCACGACCCATGAGAACGAGGGGCGATTGATGAGATGGTGGTTTTCGTGAAATCGCGTTGTAAACGTGCAAATGGCATACAGGAACAGTACTTGGTGAACTCCTTTTCCGGCCAACTCATTGGCCTGTGAAATGCCGACGTGCAGCCGGTTGCAAAAAACCCTAGCTGAATGCTTCCATCCCTGGATACCATTGGCCGAACCCCGGCTGCATCGTCCAAAAAATGACGGCAACTGAGATTACCGAACAGCATGGACCACACACAAACAGTAACATTCAACGCCCGCACATCGCTTTATATATGACAAATGCACTAATCAAATGTAACGAGCGAGTCGACCAATAGCTTGAGAGAAACTTACCGACATTTGGTCAAAACCAACGATTTTTGCCTAGTATCCAATAGCTTCACAGCCATGGGAGTTACCAGCTTCCCACGCAGCTGAGGTCCTTACGTGCCACAGAGTGAATAGTGAAAAATCCATCAGTGCATATGCACTGCTTCACCAAATAGCAAGCACAAACAGTCCGCGCCAACGTTCAGCACGTGCTGTTCCGTTGTTACCAGAAGTCTACGGCTCAGTTGAACGTGAACTATTTGCTTATTCGTCAGATTTTGTCCTCACATCAGTTTGAGACAAACTACACTCAAGTGGGCATTTTTACTTTTTTTACACTCGCGCACTGATACCAAAATGTTAGCACAAACGACTCTTCAGTTCTCGCCCAACCGGAGTCATGGTTCTTCGGCCGACCTGAATCGGGATTTGCGATCGGGACAGCGCTGGTCGATTTGGCGCGCGTCTGAACAATTCGAAGCAGCCTGCCGTAACAGTATTCGACAACCGCCATACACAAGCCCGTTTCGGGTGGTCAAAAGTAGGGCGAAAACTTTCGTTACGAACGTCAGCCGGTTACACGACACTGTAGCTGTTGACAGCCTCGAACCTACTGTCTTTGAGTGCGAGCCTCCCGCCCAATACACACCTACTCAAGACGCTCAGTCATCCGCATCTAGCGAGTTTACACTCGAATCAACCACAATTACGCCTAGTGAGAACTCGGAAGTTAGTCCGTCAGAATCTCCAACCGTACCTGCAACGTGGAGCAGCCGTCGTGGTTGTCAACTACTAAGTCCCGTCCGTTTCGCCGATTTCGTGACCATTTATACAACCGATTGTTAGCCACAAGTTGGGAGATTGGGCAAGGATTTACCAATCAACAGGCCCGAGAAATCACAATCCGTGGGTATGCTTTCATTTTCTTCCGGTCTCCTAGCGACTATAACAACACCGACCATAGTTCGTGTTTTTTTATCAAGATCCAACATCATCCGGCACCCCTAGGCGCTTTTTTCTTCCAGTTTGACATGCTCTTCCGCAGACAGATTCATACAGTCACACCGACCTCATCAGTGGCCTCGCTGACTCACATGCACGTTCAACGAGCCGGCCACCCACTGCACAACGCGACGATTGGTCATCTTCGCATTGAAGACGACAGCTGAAAGCCTTTTCGGATGGATCCCAAGCGGCATCTCCAGGCTCGCGAGCCTATGAGACCCGTGAGTGCAAAAACTCCGTTGGATGGATGCACGTCTGACCTCGAGAGTGCGGCCTCCGTCAAACTCACAACCAGTCGTTCGACGCCTGTAAGTCAATTCTCGTTAATCGAGCACCGCGTAGCCAGTTCAAACGAATCCCAAAACCAGAACAAGATTGACTCGTACTTTCTACGGTACTAAATTGAAATTAACAAAGGGCACAAATATATACAAACCTCAAGTATGCGGCCAAATAGACTTCACAGTTAAACCCAAAGGTTCAAAACCCCGTGGCTCAAGCACGACAGTCAGAAACGGTTCAAGACCAAATTCAAATGTCTCACATGGATAAACAAACGTGGAAAAGTGTGGTATACGAGCGAGCTTTTCAACGTAATGTTGAATATAGTCAAATTCACAAAGCACGTTGAACATTTGGAAGGATCTTCAGTATTTGTTCTTTACACCGCCGGCAAAAATCCTTCCGCAAAAATGGTCGTCCAAGGTTCAGGAACGGGTCATGATTCTCACCCTACCTACCTATAACTTATTGTCAGTGCCTGTGGTTACTAACTTCCTGTGTTAGCCGCGCGTAAAACAGCTTTCCGCCGTAGTCATCATTCGAACAATTCATAAGGAATCAATTCCAAATCCCGCTGCACAACTTCAGATTGGCATATTCATCAGGAGACCGACGCACACAGTTAGACGCACGATGAAGATGGAGGCTTTGCAGAATAAAACATTTTGCCGCACGAGCTCAGTCTACGTATCACAAGCAGCACTTGGCAACCGATCTGACGGAGCCCCCGGAACACTGTCCTCAAGTAAGTCCTCTGCCGCATGTTCAGTTTGTGCTACAAATAATGCCCAGCTGTGTCATGTTAAGCTACTGCTAGAGAGTGCTTATTTCGAACTGGAATCTGCCAAGTCCAACCTTTGGGAGGCGAAGGTTAAAAGACAAACCGCTGCAGCTCAGAGTTGTGATGGGTACGCTGTACTTGAGTACGACTCACAACGTGGAATGGATTTAGGTGAGCCTTGGCGCGCCAAACGCCCCGTACCTGGTAACGCTTTTGTGCCAGGCGAGTGACTTTTTTCTTTAAAGGATGCCACCGCAGTTAGGGAATTTGCTGCCAAATAGTTCCGATGTAACCGGTAGGTTTGATCATATATCCGCCGGAAAGGAAAGACAAAATAAGAAACGCCATTTCTGACGACTCTCCATCGGTATACATGTTTTTCTGGCGGTTCGAGGAAAGCGTAGAGAACCGATTTCGAGGTGATCGTCAGCTCCTTACGCATCATTCTCATTTCTGTCAGGGCGAGGCGAAGGAAGCCATTCTTGGTTGCTCCTTGTATTCTACTAGCAAGGAGCACAAACGAGCTTGAAACCTACTGAAAAAAATTTTGGTCAGCGGCAGATAATCGTAAGATCCATGCTTGATGATGAGACCACGCTTGGAGCAATTCAGCCAGATATGGATGTGGTAATGACCTACTCGAATAAATTAGTAAGTCGTGCCAATGCATTGGAACAGTTCGTTGTGTCGCTGATCTTAATCCGGTGAACAATAATAAGGCGGAGCTTGGTCAATTGCCAAGGTTTATATCGGTAGACTTGGTGTGAACATCGGAAGACATTTATGAAAGCTACCGAGAGCACATCTTCCGTGACTTGCGCGAATTTGTGCTATCGAGGGCTCGTCTTCACCAACATAGGTATGGTTAATTTTTTCAGAACCAAAATTCAGTGGAGCATGGCTCAACTAGAGAGGGCGCTATGCACTGAAAGGCTTATACTTTATCTACTGATTTGATAATTTGTCCGATGTGCGACGGACGGCATACCCCCGCAGACCGTCATGAGCTTCACAGCCTCACTGTTAAGGACGGCTGGGGTTCCCTAGTCAAGATAAAGTTGAGTTTCGTCTGTTTATGTTCTGGCCATCAGGCCGAAAGTTGTCCGAATAAGTGGGCTAGTGGAGAAGGGGGTTATACCCGATGGCACCATCGCATGTTACATGACGAGATTAGAACTCCAGTGCCTAATGCATCCCTCCAAATGTTCCCGAGCGGTTCTGGGGTTTGTCTACGTTTCTTGCCCGCGGTTAATCAAGGCCCGAACGGATCTTCCATTGTCGGTATACTGCTAGAGACGGGACCTGATTCACCTCTCATTCGTGGAGATTTGGAAAGGTTTTTGGGCTCAGGTAATAAGGAATCAAAAGTACACTCAAGCACTCTCATGGAAAACACATTTTGATGATACACAAGTCTGTTCTTCCGTTTAAAATTCCTAATTGGAGAGCAAGTGGCACACGTAGCAGGTACCTACACACCTTTTCCTCTCTTCTTGAAATGACAGCCAGGAAGCCCAAATCTGAAGCTCTTGCTAAGCTAAGTGGGGTCAATTAAGTGATATCCACTTCAATCTCGTGTCTGATTCCGTTGTGTGAGTTCTGATAGGCCTAGACGCACCTGACCCACCTTGGGCCTTTGAGCAACAAAGAGGTTAAAAAGGTGATCCTTACATTACCCCTACACCATTCGGATTGATTCTTTGTGGTACTTTGTATAATTTCCGGTGACACCACGTAAATACATTCGCTGCTTAAGCCGGGTTTAAGGAGGTTGAAGGTAATCTGGTTAGATTGTGTGATATGAACTTCAAAGACAAACCAAAGAAAAGAATCACCCTTTCCGCTGAAGATGAACGAGCAGTGAAGATAGCCGAAAGTTACTTGGAAATATTAGACGGACAGTTTCTTCGAAACCTACCATGGAAAATGGCTTATTGAAGAGTCACTGTAATAAGACGGCGGCGCCGCATCGCCCGCTAATACCAGATAGAAGCCTGAGGAAGGATGAAGAAATGGGGGAAGACACCCGTCTGTTATTTACCAACACTTAAAGAGGGGTTATGACCCCAGGGCAACCAGTGACAGCAAGTATACCAGCGGAACACGGTATCTAACACATCAAGTTGTAGTTAACATGAACAAACCCGAAAAGCCGAGAGTGGTCTCCGATTGCGCAGCTGCTAATCGCGATCAATCTCTGAACAGTTGCCTGTTGCAAGGCCCAAACAATGTAGCTAGTTAAATAGATATATTACTATGATTCTCACAAGGACCTAGAGCCATCTTCGAGGATATCGAGGACATAATTTTGCAAATTTTTGGGCCAGAAAGGAACCAAGATGTGTAAGGTCGTTGACCCTTACTTCGCCGCTTCCTGGTTAAGCACGTTTCTTTGGGCCTTTTTATTGCGTGGATCACCTGCACGTTACCCTGATGCTTCACACTGTACGAATACGTTAACAAGAACCGTATTCTCCACGACCCATGAGAACGAGGGGCGATTGATGAGATGGTGGTTTTCGTGAAATCGCGTTGTAAACGTGCAAATGGCATACAGGAACAGTACTTGGTGAACTCCTTTTCCGGCCAACTCATTGGCCTGTGAAATGCCGACGTGCAGCCGGTTGCAAAAAACCCTAGCTGAATGCTTCCATCCCTGGATACCATTGGCCGAACCCCGGCTGCATCGTCCAAAAAATGACGGCAACTGAGATTACCGAACAGCATGGACCACACACAAACAGTAACATTCAACGCCCGCACATCGCTTTATATATGACAAATGCACTAATCAAATGTAACGAGCGAGTCGACCAATAGCTTGAGAGAAACTTACCGACATTTGGTCAAAACCAACGATTTTTGCCTAGTATCCAATAGCTTCACAGCCATGGGAGTTACCAGCTTCCCACGCAGCTGAGGTCCTTACGTGCCACAGAGTGAATAGTGAAAAATCCATCAGTGCATATGCACTGCTTCACCAAATAGCAAGCACAAACAGTCCGCGCCAACGTTCAGCACGTGCTGTTCCGTTGTTACCAGAAGTCTACGGCTCAGTTGAACGTGAACTATTTGCTTATTCGTCAGATTTTGTCCTCACATCAGTTTGAGACAAACTACACTCAAGTGGGCATTTTTACTTTTTTTACACTCGCGCACTGATACCAAAATGTTAGCACAAACGACTCTTCAGTTCTCGCCCAACCGGAGTCATGGTTCTTCGGCCGACCTGAATCGGGATTTGCGATCGGGACAGCGCTGGTCGATTTGGCGCGCGTCTGAACAATTCGAAGCAGCCTGCCGTAACAGTATTCGACAACCGCCATACACAAGCCCGTTTCGGGTGGTCAAAAGTAGGGCGAAAACTTTCGTTACGAACGTCAGCCGGTTACACGACACTGTAGCTGTTGACAGCCTTGATCATGCACAAAGCATGCTTCGGGCGTTTCTGAAATAAACAATTATTAATATTATTATTATTATTACTGTCTTTGAGTGCGAGCCTCCCGCCCAATACACACCTACTCAAGACGCTCAGTCATCCGCATCTAGCGAGTTTACACTCGAATCAACCACAATTACGCCTAATGAGAACTCGGAAGTTAGTCCGTCAGAATCTCCAACCGTACCTGCAACGTGGAGCAGCCGTCGTGGTTGTCAACTACTAAGTCCCGTCCGTTTCGCCGATTTCGTGACCATTTATACAACCGATTGTTAGCCACAAGTTGGGAGATTGGGCAAGGATTTACCAATCAACAGGCCCGAGAAATCACAATCCGTGGGTATGCTTTCATTTTCTTCCGGTCTCCTAGCGACTATAACAACACCGACCATAGTTCGTGTTTTTTTATCAAGATCCAACATCATCCGGCACCCCTAGGCGCTTTTTTCTTCCAGTTTGGCATGCTCTTCCGCAGACAGATTCATACAGTCACACCGACCTCATCAGTGGCCTCGCTGACTCACATGCACGTTCAACGAGCCGGCCACCCACTGCACAACGCGACGATTGGTCATCTTCGTATTGAAGACGACAGCTGAAAGCCTTTTCGGATGGATCCCAAGCGGCATCTCCAGGCTCGCGAGCCTATGAGACCCGTGAGTGCAAAAACTCCGTTGGATGGATGCACGTCTGACCTCGAGAGTGCGGCCTCCGTCAAACTCACAACCAGTCGTTCGACGCCTGTAAGTCAATTCTCGTTAATCGAGCACCGCGTAGCCAGTTCAAACGAATCCCAAAACCAGAACAAGATTGACTCGTACTTTCTACGGTACTAAATTGAAATTAACAAAGGGCACAAATATATACAAACCTCAAGTATGCGGCCAAATAGACTTCACAGTTAAACCCAAAGGTTCAAAACCCCGTGGCTCAAGCACGACAGTCAGAAACGGTTCAAGACCAAATTCAAATGTCTCACATGGATAAACAAACGTGGAAAAGTGTGGTATACGAGCGAGCTTTTCAACGTAATGTTGAATATAGTCAAATTCACAAAGCACGTTGAACATTTGGAAGGATCTTCAGTATTTGTTCTTTACACCGCCGGCAAAAATCCTTCCGCAAAAATGGTCGTCCAAGGTTCAGGAACGGGTCATGATTCTCACCCTACCTACCTATAACTTATTGTCAGTGCCTGTGGTTACTAACTTCCTGTGTTAGCCGCGCGTAAAACAGCTTTCCGCCGTAGTCATCATTCGAACAATTCATAAGGAATCAATTCCAAATCCCGCTGCACAACTTCAGATTGGCATATTCATCAGGAGACCGACGCACACAGTTAGACGCACGATGAAGATGGAGGCTTTGCAGAATAAAACATTTTGCCGCACGAGCTCAGTCTACGTATCACAAGCAGCACTTGGCAACCGATCTGACGGAGCCCCCGGAACACTGTCCTCAAGTAAGTCCTCTGCCGCATGTTCAGTTTGTGCTACAAATAATGCCCAGCTGTGTCATGTTAAGCTACTGCTAGAGAGTGCTTATTTCGAACTGGAATCTGCCAAGTCCAACCTTTGGGAGGCGAAGGTTAAAAGACAAACCGCTGCAGCTCAGAGTTGTGATGGGTACGCTGTACTTGAGTACGACTCACAACGTGGAATGGATTTAGGTGAGCCTTGGCGCGCCAAACGCCCCGTACCTGGTAACGCTTTTGTGCCAGGCGAGTGACTTTTTTCTTTAAAGGATGCCACCGCAGTTAGGGAATTTGCTGCCAAATAGTTCCGATGTAACCGGTAGGTTTGATCATATATCCGCCGGAAAGGAAAGACAAAATAAGAAACGCCATTTCTGACGACTCTCCATCGGTATACATGTTTTTCTGGCGGTTCGAGGAAAGCGTAGAGAACCGATTTCGAGGTGATCGTCAGCTCCTTACGCATCATTCTCATTTCTGTCAGGGCGAGGCGAAGGAAGCCATTCTTGGTTGCTCCTTGTATTCTACTAGCAAGGAGCACAAACGAGCTTGAAACCTACTGAAAAAAATTTTGGTCAGCGGCAGATAATCGTAAGATCCATGCTTGATGATGAGACCACGCTTGGAGCAATTCAGCCAGATATGGATGTGGTAATGACCTACTCGAATAAATTAGTAAGTCGTGCCAATGCATTGGAACAGTTCGTTGTGTCGCTGATCTTAATCCGGTGAACAATAATAAGGCGGAGCTTGGTCAATTGCCAAGGTTTATATCGGTAGACTTGGTGTGAACATCGGAAGACATTTATGAAAGCTACCGAGAGCACATCTTCCGTGACTTGCGCGAATTTGTGCTATCGAGGGCTCGTCTTCACCAACATAGGTATGGTTAATTTTTTCAGAACCAAAATTCAGTGGAGCATGGCTCAACTAGAGAGGGCGCTATGCACTGAAAGGCTTATACTTTATCTACTGATTTGATAATTTGTCCGATGTGCGACGGACGGCATACCCCCGCAGACCGTCATGAGCTTCACAGCCTCACTGTTAAGGACGGCTGGGGTTCCCTAGTCAAGATAAAGTTGAGTTTCGTCTGTTTATGTTCTGGCCATCAGGCCGAAAGTTGTCCGAATAAGTGGGCTAGTGGAGAAGGGGGTTATACCCGATGGCACCATCGCATGTTACATGACGAGATTAGAACTCCAGTGCCTAATGCATCCCTCCAAATGTTCCCGAGCGGTTCTGGGGTTTGTCTACGTTTCTTGCCCGCGGTTAATCAAGGCCCGAACGGATCTTCCATTGTCGGTATACTGCTAGAGACGGGACCTGATTCACCTCTCATTCGTGGAGATTTGGAAAGGTTTTTGGGCTCAGGTAATAAGGAATCAAAAGTACACTCAAGCACTCTCATGGAAAACACATTTTGATGATACACAAGTCTGTTCTTCCGTTTAAAATTCCTAATTGGAGAGCAAGTGGCACACGTAGCAGGTACCTACACACCTTTTCCTCTCTTCTTGAAATGACAGCCAGGAAGCCCAAATCTGAAGCTCTTGCTAAGCTAAGTGGGGTCAATTAAGTGATATCCACTTCAATCTCGTGTCTGATTCCGTTGTGTGAGTTCTGATAGGCCTAGACGCACCTGACCCACCTTGGGCCTTTGAGCAACAAAGAGGTTAAAAAGGTGATCCTTACATTACCCCTACACCATTCGGATTGATTCTTTGTGGTACTTTGTATAATTTCCGGTGACACCACGTAAATACATTCGCTGCTTAAGCCGGGTTTAAGGAGGTTGAAGGTAATCTGGTTAGATTGTGTGATATGAACTTCAAAGACAAACCAAAGAAAAGAATCACCCTTTCCGCTGAAGATGAACGAGCAGTGAAGATAGCCGAAAGTTACTTGGAAATATTAGACGGACAGTTTTTTCGAAACCTACCATGGAAAATGGCTTATTGAAGAGTCACTGTAATAAGACGGCGGCGCCGCATCGCCCGCTAATACCAGATAGAAGCCTGAGGAAGGATGAAGAAATGGGGGGCACACTTAAAGAGGGGCTATGACCCCAGGGCAACCAGTGACAGCAAGTATACCAGCGGAACACGGTATCTAACACATCAAGTTGTAGTTAACATGAACAAACCCGAAAAGCCGAGAGTGGTCTCCGATTGCGCAGCTGCTAATCGCGATCAATCTCTGAACAGTTGCCTGTTGCAAGACCCAAACAATGTAGCTAGTTAAATAGATATATTACTATGATTCTCACAAGGACCTAGAGCCATCTTCGAGGATATCGAGGACATAATTTTGCAAATTTTTGGGCCAGAAAGGAACCAAGATGTGTAAGGTCGTTGACCCTTACTTCGCCGCTTCCTGGTTAAGCACGTTTCTTTGGGCCTTTTTATTGCGTGGATCACCTGCACGTTACCCTGATGCTTCACACTGTACGAATACGTTAACAAGAACCGTATTCTCCACGACCCATGAGAACGAGGGGCGATTGATGAGATGGTGGTTTTCGTGAAATCGCGTTGTAAACGTGCAAATGGCATACAGGAACAGTACTTGGTGAACTCCTTTTCCGGCCAACTCATTGGCCTGTGAAATGCCGACGTGCAGCCGGTTGCAAAAAACCCTAGCTGAATGCTTCCATCCCTGGATACCATTGGCCGAACCCCGGCTGCATCGTCCAAAAAATGACGGCAACTGAGATTACCGAACAGCATGGACCACACACAAACAGTAACATTCAACGCCCGCACATCGCTTTATATATGACAAATGCACTAATCAAATGTAACGAGCGAGTCGACCAATAGCTTGAGAGAAACTTACCGACATTTGGTCAAAACCAACGATTTTTGCCTAGTATCCAATAGCTTCACAGCCATGAGAGTTACCAGCTTCCCACGCAGCTGAGGTCCTTACGTGCCACAGAGTGAATAGTGAAAAATCCATCAGTGCATATGCACTGCTTCACCAAATAGCAAGCACAAACAGTCCGCGCCAACGTTCAGCACGTGCTGTTCCGTTGTTACCAGAAGTCTACGGCTCAGTTGAACGTGAACTATTTGCTTATTCGTCAGATTTTGTCCTCACATCAGTTTGAGACAAACTACACTCAAGTGGGCATTTTTACTTTTTTTTACACTCGCGCACTGATACCAAAATGTTAGCACAAACGACTCTTCAGTTCTCGCCCAACCGGAGTCATGGTTCTTCGGCCGACCTGAATCGGGATTTGCGATCGGGACAGCGCTGGTCGATTTGGCGCGCGTCTGAACAATTCGAAGCAGCCTGCCGTAACAGTATTCGACAACCGCCATACACAAGCCCGTTTCGGGTGGTCAAAAGTAGGGCGAAAACTTTCGTTACGAACGTCAGCCGGTTACACGACACTGTAGCTGTTGACAGCCTTGATCATGCACAAAGCATGCTTCGGGCGTTTCTGAAATAAACAATTATTAATATTATTATTATTATTACTGTCTTTGAGTGCGAGCCTCCCGCCCAATACACACCTACTCAAGACGCTCAGTCATCCGCATCTAGCGAGTTTACACTCGAATCAACCACAATTACGCCTAATGAGAACTCGGAAGTTAGTCCGTCAGAATCTCCAACCGTACCTGCAACGTGGAGCAGCCGTCGTGGTTGTCAACTACTAAGTCCCGTCCCATTCGCCGATTTCGTGACCATTTATACGACCGATTGTTAGCCACAAGTTGGGAGGTTGGGCAAGGATTTACCAATCAACAGGCCCGAGAAATCACAATCCGTGGGTATGCTTTCATTTTCTTCCGGTCTCCTAGCGACTATAACAACACCGACCATAGTTCGTGTTTTTTTTATCAAGATCCAACATCATCCGGCACCCCTAGGCGCTTTTTTCTTCCAGTTTGACATGCTCTTCCGCAGACAGATTCATACAGTCACACCGACCTCATCAGTGGCCTCGCTGACTCACATGCACGTTCAACGAGCCGGCCACCCACTGCACAACGCGACGATTGGTCATCTTCGTATTGAAGACGACAGCTGAAAGCCTTTTCGGATGGATCCCAAGCGGCATCTCCAGGCTCGCGAGCCTGAGACCCGTGAGTGCAAAAACTCCGTTGGATGGATGCACGTCTGACCTCGAGAGTGCGGCCTCCGTCAAACTCACAACCAGTCGTTCGACGCCTGTAAGTCAATTCTCGTTAATCGAGCACCGCGTAGCCAGTTCAAACGAATCCCAAAACCAGAACAAGATTGACTCGTACTTTCTACGGTACTAAATTGAAATTAACAAAGGGCACAAATATATACAAACCTCAAGTATGCGGCCAAATAGACTTCACAGTTAAACCCAAAGGTTCAAAACCCCGTGGCTCAAGCACGACAGTCAGAAACGGTTCAAGACCAAATTCAAATGTCTCACATGGATAAACAAACGTGGAAAAGTGTGATATACGAGCGAGCTTTTCAACGTAATGTTGAATATAGTCAAATTCACAAAGCACGTTGAACATTTGGAAGGATCTTCAGTATTTGTTCTTTACACCGCCGGCAAAAATCCTTCCGCAAAAATGGTCGTCCAAGGTTCAGGAAGGGGTCATGATTCTCACCCTACCTACCTATAACTTATTGTCAGTGCCTGTGGTTACTAACTTCCTGTGTTAGCCGCGCGTAAAACAGCTTTCCGCCGTAGTCATCATTCGAACAATTCATAAGGAATCAATTCCAAATCCCGCTGCACAACTTCAGATTGGCATATTCATCAGGAGACCGACGCACACAGTTAGACGCACGATGAAGATGGAGGCTTTGCAGTGCTGCTTGTGATGCGTAGACTGAGCTCGTGCGGCAAAATGTTTTATTCAGTTCTGAACTGAACTGAACTGAACTGAATAAAACATTTTGCCGCACGAGCTCAGTCTACGTATCACAAGCAGCACTTGGCAACCGATCTGACGGAGCCCCCGGAACACTGTCCTCAAGTAAGTCCTCTGCCGCATGTTCAGTTTGTGCTACAAATAATGCCCAGCTGTGTCATGTTAAGCTACTGCTAGAGAGTGCTTATTTCGAACTGGAATCTGCCAAGTCCAACCTTTGGGAGGCGAAGGTTAAAAGACAAACCGCTGCAGCTCAGAGTTGTGATGGGTACGCTGTACTTGAGTACGACTCACAACGTGGAATGGATTTAGGCGAGCCTTGGCGAGACACTTCTTCGAAAGCTATATCTCTGAGATGAGACCATCTCTTGGCGATC